TGCTAAGACCATCAGGCAGACCCAGGCTGGCTCTCAGAAAGTATCTTTTTTACTTGTTTGGGCTGTCTGGCCCTCAAGCACCTTAGGGATGAGTCATCCCACATATCCACCCCTTTTTATTACTTTATAGGACATGCTCAGTGGGAGCTAGGGTGCATTGCCCTAACCTTGTTGACCTCACCTCAGGAGAGCTCAGCATAATGGACTGTGTCTGTCTTAGATTGGCTTGTCAAACAAGCTCGTATCTGTCATTGACTATCAGCCCTGGAAGAGCATCAATCCTGGAGAGCTGTCTGGGTGGTGGGCTTTAGGCAGTAGCTTTCTGTATCTCAGTGAGCCATATGTGCATTATCTCTCTAAGAGGACTCTGATCTAGGTGTCTGGGAACCTATAAAACCTGTAGGGTCACCTTTGTGGCTGCCTTTTGTTGGTGAATCTGTTGCAGAAGATATTTAAACAAGAGAAGGATTAGTCAAAAATTTTAATCTCAAGGACATGGATGGGACCCAGTCATTTTTATTGCACCAATCTAAGTCTTTCTGGTGTTGTATAATTGACCTTGTAGGGGGTGAGGCAATTGCTTAATCTCTAGGGCCACATGTCAGTGATGACATGATCTTTACTAATGAATGTCACAGTAGCAGGACAAATCATACATTACCCCTCTGAAGCTTCTTTTTTGTCCAAAGTCTCTTGGTCTGTTGCCGGACGCACATCTCTGGAGGGTACCCATATTGGTGTGGTGGTATTCTGGGGGAAAAAATGCAGGCATATCCTCAACCCCAGGTTAATAGGGAACAGAGTATTGCCACTGAAGGGTAATGGGATCCCTTCAATGCACCAAGGGCAATGGTATTTCCCAAGTCAAGTAAATAAGTGTGTTGTCCAATTTGGTGTGTTGTCCAGTTTGGTCTTGTGTGTCAGGGTTAACATATAGTCCTCAGCCCATGAGCATCTCAAGAGAAACATCGATGTTGTACTGTATATTAAAACTAGCCTGAGCCTCATCCTGGTCATCATAGGCAGCTCGCCAATTAAGGAAGACCATAGGCTCCAACTGAGCCTTCATCAAATGGTGCCAGTCATAGTAAGTCTGTAAATGCATTGCCCATTGCCGTAGGACTTGCTCTAAATATATGGAAACGCTAGGCGAGCCTGAACAAAAGTATATGCCACCCTACCATACAGACAGACTCACAAACAAGACAAACAGAAAGAAGAAAGTGGGGGTCCCAGCATTTACATGCTGAAGGGACTGAATTTACACAACATAGAGGGGCCTACTCACCAAAATATACTGCTCAAGGGGGCTTCTCAACCAGCGCTGCACATGAGTAAAGGGAGACAAACTGACCCTGTTCAAGTACCAAATTTCCTGGCTTTCGGCACCAGATGTAGCAGGGTCCTTGCTGTTGTTCCCTTTGGGGGTGGGGGCCAAGTAGGCACAGAGTCAGACCACACAGACTCCAGGAGAATGTCGAAACAACAAGCTCAGTTTATTCAGGAAGAGGTAAACCTTATATACCCTCAACCCCTCCCTGGGGGGAGGTCTGATGAATATACATCTGATGGTGTGACATGGCTGCCTCTCATTGGTCCAGGTCATCTCCAGATCATGTTTCAGCTGCTGCTGCTAAGACCATCAGGCAGACCCAGG